CCACAAGCTACTAAACCATCTCTCGTAGCTCCTCATCCAGGCGCCTCTTGAACACTGCCAGGGATGGCGACTCCACCACCTCCCTGGGCAGCCATTCCAGTGCCTGACCACCCTCTGAGAGAAAAAGTTTCTCCTAATATCCAACCTAAACCTCCTCTGGTATAACTTCTTGCCATTTCCTCAGATCCTACCATTTGCCTGGGAGAAGAGGCCAGACCCTTTTGCACCACAACCTCCCTTCAGGAAGTTGTAGAGTGCAATGAGGTCTCCCCTGAGCCTCCTCTTCTCCAGACTAAACAATCCCAGCTCCTTCAGCTGCTCCTCATAAGACTTGTGCTCCAGACCCCTCACCAGTTTTGTTGCCCTTCTCTGGACATGCTCCAGGGCCTCTGTCTTTCTTGTAGTGAGGGGCCCAAAACTGAACACAGTACTCGAGGTGCGGCCTCACCAGTGCTGAGTAGTGGGGGATGATCACCTCCCTGCTCCTGCTGGCCACACAATTTCTAATGCAGGCCAGGATGCCGTTGGCCCTCTTGGCCACCTGGGCACACTGTCGGCTCATGTTCAGCCGAGCATCAACCAACACCCCCAGGTCCCTTTCCTCTTCACAGTCATCCAACCACTCATCCCCAAGCCTGTAGCGCTGCATGGGGTTGTTGTGGCCAAAGTGCAGAACCCGACACTTGGCCTTGTTAAACCTCATCCCATTCACCTCAGCCCAGCGATCCAGCTTACCTAGATCCCTCTGCAGGGCCTCCCTGCCCTCAGGCAGATCGACACCACCTCCCAACTTGGTGTCATCTGCAAACTTACTCAGGGTACACTCAATCCCTTCATCTAAGTCGTCAATGAAGATATTAAACAGGATGGGCCCCAGTACCGACCCCTGGGGGACACCACTTGTAACAGGTCTCAGGCTAGACTTCACTCCATTGACCACCACCTGTTGAGCACGGCCCTCCAGCCAGTTCCTTATCCAACGGAGGGTAAAACTGTCCAAGCCATGGGCAGCCAGTTTCCGCAGAAGGATACTGTGAGAGACCATGTCAAAGGCTTTGCTGATGTCTAGGTAGACTACATCAACAGCCTTTCCCTCATCTACCAGTCTGGTCACCCAGTTGTAGAAGGAGATGAGGTTGGTCAAACACGACCTGCCTTTCATGAACCCATGCTGGCTGGGCCTGATCCTGTGGACGTCGCGCACGAGCCGTGTGATCTCTCCCAGGAGGATTTGTTCCATGACCTTCCCTGGCACTGATGTCAGGCTGACAGGCCTGTAGTTCCCCAGATCCTCCTTACGGCCCTTCTTGTAGATGGGCGTCACATCAGCAAGCCTCCAATCCTCTGGAACCTCTCCAGTCAACCAGGAGTGCTGGTAGATAGCCGAGAGCGGATTAGCGATCACCCCCACCAACTCCCTCAGCACCCTAGGATGAAGCCCATCCGGTCCCATGGACTTGTGACTGTCCAGATGGAGGAGGAGCTCTCTAACTGTCTCCACCTCGATCTCCGGGGAGACATTCTGCGTGTCAGCCCAGATATCCAGATCAGGGCACAAAGTGCCCTGAAGATAGCTGGTCTGACTATTAAAGGCAGATGTAAAGAAGGCGTTGAGGACCTCAGCCTTCTCCTTGTCATCTGTGGTCACATTCCCTGCCGCATCAATTAAAGGATAGAGATTATCCTTGGTTTTTCTCTTGCCATTGATATATTTGTAAAAGGATTTCTTATTCTGCTTTACTGCAGCGGCCAATCTAAGTTCAAGATGGGCTTTTGCCTTCCGGACTTCCTCCCTGCATACCTTAGCAACTTCCTTGTAATCTCCCCTAGTAGCCTGTCCCTTCTTCCACAGGACATAGACTCTCTTTTTCTTCCTGAGTCTTGACAGTAATTCCCGGCTCATCCACAGCAGACTTCTCCCCCTACGGCTCGCCTTACAGTATTCAGGGACAGCCTGTTTTGGAGCCTTTAAGATTTCCACCTTGAGGAGCGTCCAGGCTTCCTGGACCCCTTTACCCTTAAGGAGTGACTCCCAAGGGACCTGTGCTACAAGCATCCTCAGCAGGTCAAAGTCCGCCCTCTTGAAGTTCAAGATAGCAGAAATCCTAGGCTTAGCTTCTTGAAATCCACCCCACAGCCCTCTAAGGCAGGAGGCTTCATAAAAAGGGGGAAACTGAGGCAGAAATGAGCCTTGATGAGGACTAGAGGGAGGAAATGTTACTGGAGCCTGAATGAGGTCAGAGTACATGGTTTAAATCAGGTCACTGCTTGATATTTATTGTGTAGGGTTTTTCTTTTTTCCTTACTCTCTCCCTGAAATCCTTCCCCAGAGGCTATTCAAGGAAATAAATAGCCAGTGGAAAGGGACAATAGCTTGCTGTGGAGTACAAATTATATGAAGTAGTAGGAAATAATAGCAGAGTGAGCAGCTGCTGCTCCGAGAAGGAATGCGTGCTCTCTCCAGCTCCTCTTTGCCTTGAACGTGTGCCGATCCTGGTCTGCAGCACAGACTCCTTGGTGCCTCGGACGCAGATCCTGGCAGCCCACTGAGGAGGGAAGTGTTGGTTCTGGCATACAGTGTGGCTGCTGGGTGGTAGTGGTGGTGGCAATAGGTGCTGCTGTCAGAGGTCACCCAAAGGACTCTGAGCCCCCCCGTGGGTGCTCCTGGTGGCCTGAGGCCAGAGGGATAGAGGGAAGGACAGGAAGGAGTGTTAACCCCAAACCCTACCTTTTGGGACCTTTTTTCTCTTCAGGAACATGGCAAAGCCTCTTCCAGCTCCAGCAGTGTCAAAGTGGCCATCCCACATCAGTGTAGGCAGCTGCCCTCCAGCCAGGGTTGGCATGGGATGGACCTTCAGGTCAGGGGGTTGTATCCCTATTGTAGGATGATCTCTTTAGGGGTGAAAGGTTCCTTGGTCCCTTGCACAGGTGACCACCAGCTTCCACACCCATTCTTTATGTTTTCCTCACTGCATAGCACCTTCACCTCCTTTGTAGATGCTCTGTAGCCAGATTTCCTCTCTTTTTGGGGTTTACATTTCCATCACATTGCCATTTCCCTACGCTTGCGATGTCTTTGGGGAAATAACCAACCTGTCTCCTTCCTCCTCCAGTCATCCCAGTCATCACCTCCTGTCGCACCGGAGCATTTCAGCCTTTCTAGGGTTCCCTTCCTACATGGGGAGCACACCCCATTGCATGAGCCAGACCATCTGCACAGAGCTGGCTCCTGACCATGCAGAGGTTACAGACGAAGGAAGTCGCCAGCACTGGCAGAACTGCTGCCGGGTTTCCCACTATTGTTCCCAGTGGCAAATGGCAAAGGGGTGAACGCCCCTGCTGAGCGTTTGCATGAGGGGGGTTACTGTTATCTCGAAGAAATCTCACAGCCCCTCTCCTCTTTCCTGCCTCTCTCCCTGCCTGTGTATATTCTCACATCCGCAGCTCTGCACACAACTCCCTGCGCAAGTGGTTTTCCCCATCCCTGGGACACGTGCTGCTCTCCCTCGTGGGCAGCCTCACCCCCTGCCAGGGGGATCAGTGGGCATGATGAAGGCAGTGTGAACATGTGTGTGTGCGTGGGACGCACCGCAGTGTGATGGCAAACAGACCTAATGCTGGAAACCACTGTCTGTATGCAACCACCCACATCACCTGCTCCTGCAGACCAAAGTTCAGCCCTGGGGAGTTTCACCAGCGACTTCAGTGACCTCAACAGTAAATAAATTGCCAGAGCCTGCTGGTCTTTATGGCCCACTGGTCACAGATAAATAGGAAGTACCTCCAGGGAAGGAGTGATTATCAGCCTTTATCTCTTGTCACATCTGGAGCCTTTGGGGGAGGGCAGGAACTGCCTCCCAGCTGCTCTCTGCAGGGATGGGGCTTGGGAGGGATTGAGGGGCTGCTGCTCTTCTGAGCTTCCCTCTTGCTTTTCTACTGATTTCTGGATTCTGGAAATACATCACCAACAACTTCTACCAAATCTGAGGAACTGTCTACTGACTTGTAGCCCATCTCTGGCAAGGATACCAGTGGAGTAACGTTCCCCATTTCTGTTTCTCAGGGTTATAGAGGATGGAGCTATCAAACCTGCTGTGCTTGGCTCCTGAATCTCAAAGATTTAGGATTCAGTACAACTTGAATGGGAGATTGCAGAAAGCTTCCACATATTGCTGGTGCGATCCATGAGCTGGAGATGAATCTAGAGCCACAAGAAAGAAAGGAGCTGGGAAGCTTTTTATTTGGCTGAGCTGTTACAGCAAGAATAGAAACGAACGCGGTGGTCAGACCTCCATAGCAAGCTAGGGAGCTGCTTGTCCTACATGGTGGCTGCAGTAGCACCACTAAGGGCCACGTGCACTGGTGCCTCCATAGGGAATTCAACAAAGAGGCTGGTCCCTAGGGGAAAGATATGTGCATGACTCAGTCTGCTTAATATGTTAATATATAATCCACAGGGAAGTGAAGGGATGTGAGGTCGTCTATATGAAGCATTTCTGAGCTAAACTGCTGGTGGTTCCCTGCCTGCTGACTGCCCTCCAAGGAAGATGGCTGTAAGGGCTTCTGCTCCTGCCTGCTGTTGCCCAGGGTGTTCAGGCTGGCATGCAGTCAGCAAGGCTGTGTGAGGGATGGGATAAGGCATGAAGACCTCCACTCTCACTCCTTGCATTTCTTGGGCTGTGAGCGGTGCTGTCCACCAAATGGGGGGTTGGACCACTCTGCTTGAATCCTCTTCATACCTCTGTTCTCAAGCTCTATCTTTCCTTGTGCTGAGGGCAAGCCTGTTACCATCTCCTCTCTTTTCTCATTCTTTGTCGTGTGCTGCCTACACTTAGCCCACTCTTCCCCTTATTGAGAAGCCTATGATTTTAGGCCATGAGAGGAACCTCTGCCGAGAACAGTAGATGTTCTACTGGCTGGGACACCTTCTCCAAGCAGTGTGGTGACAGGGGAGGAATGGCGGATGGAAATCCACAGACCCCTTTTTGTCTCTGCCTCAGGGAACGTTTGAAATGTTTAACCTGGATTGGAAGGTTGGAGGCACCATGAAGATCAAAGGCCATATATCTGAGGATGCTGATAGGTGAGTGCAAAGAAACTCACCGACGCTGAAGGTGAGTTCACGAGCAGGAGGTGTCAAACATTTTCACAGCTGATGGAGGCTTTGGGGGCAGAACTGTGTATTGGATCCTAGCTGTTCCAAGACCCTGTCCTGCTCATGCAGCTGACCTTCCTCCTACTCACCCACAGGTTTGCCATCAATCTCGGCTGCAAATCCTCGGATCTGGCACTTCACTTCAACCCCCGTTTCAAAGAGTCTGTCATCGTCTGCAACTCCTTGTGCTCTGACAACTGGCAGCAGGAGCAACGCAGTAAACATTTCTGTTTCCACAAGGGCTCCACTGTCAAGGTGAGGGCTCTGTGCTGGTGTGGGGTTGTGGGATGGTGAGAGAGATTCCTGTACCCCATATCCTCCTACTTGCCTGCCCAATGCTTCCCTTTCTCTTTACTGCTCCTTCATCATCTGGCTTTTTCGTCCTGATTGCTATTTCTTCTCCTTCAAATCAACAGTGGAACTCCGTGTGAGCCTTCTCTGTTTCAGGCTTTACAACTGCTTCCAGCCCAGGGATGTGTGAAAGCAAAGGAGGTTTCCAGGAAGCAGGATCTTGCTGCTCTGTATCTTATTTCTCTAATTGCCTCCTATGCAAACACAGGTTTTAAGCCAGACCTGGGCTGGAAGCAGTGTGGTTCCCTATCTTCTCTGGTCCCCAAATACTCTTCTGTCCTAACTACTTTTGAGTACACTGACAATCTGTCCTACCTCTCCTCCTGCCAGGGATGCTGCCTCACTCTGTCCTATGTCCCAAGATGCTACTAGGGCTGTGTTCAGGAGTAGACCACTTCATATGGCTGTGGAGAAGAGTCTTATTTCCTCAGTCATGGCTGAATGCTGGGGAAACAGTGGAGAAGTGACAGCTTTGAGAAGTCCCTTTTATTTGCAATGATCAGTGATGAGTCCCTGTTCTGTCTGTTTGAGCATGTTTATGGCTAACACTCCTTTTTCCTGGCTGTGATGAGGGCAATAAAACATCAGGTTCATTCTACTCTGTTCAAATCTAAGCCATGTGGTATATTTAGCAAAGGCAGCACTTAGGTTTATCTGCTCCAAGTTTACAACCTGAGTAGCTGAAACAGCCCCAGGAGAGATCCTGTCCCCGGGTCATAGTCCGATTGCCAGCTCAGATCCTCAATACCAATGGCTCATTTTCTGCAGCTCCCCCAGCACAGCCTCCAGACCAGGTCTGACCCTCATGTGTAGCATTATGCCTTTGGAGTGGATGCTTACCTTTCCTTTTCTCTCCAATTCCTGCCATCCCTTCCTCCCTCCCTCCCTTCCTCCTTTCCTCCTCGCAGATCATCATTGAATTCCTGGGAGACAAATTTGTGGTGAAACTACCAGATGGGCATGAAGTGGAGTTCCCCAACCGGCATGGCTATGACAAGATCAGCTACTTGAACATTCATGGAGGATTCAAGGTCACCTCTTTCAAGGTGGAGTGATGAGTTCCGTTTCCTAGTGCTAATAAAAACCCAGCTGGGACTGCTTGCTCCAGCTGCTCTGGCTTCTGTGAGGTCTCTGGCTCTATGGCTCTATGAGAGATGCTGGCAAAGACCGAGCTTTGTCCACTAACAGAAAAGGAAATAGCTGCTAGATAAGGCCAGGTGCTTTTCTGGTTCAGACCAGGATATGGGGTTGAGCAGCGCACAGGGCCAAACACACTGGAGGTGGAGTTCGGGTGAAGAAGAAAAAGGAAAAGGAAGACAGGATATGATTGCTCAGGGAATGCTTGCTGAGCCTTGTCACAATGCACCATTTCTTCTTGCACCCACATTTTTGGGAGAGGAGGGGGGAGGAGAGGGAACAAAAAGACTGATGTGAGAAATGTGGCATTTGGTGCCACAAAAGTACATAATTAAACATTAGGTTTGGGAACCTCAGGGCATGGCTTCACCATTTCCTCTTGGCTACTTGCTCTGATAGGTAGAAGGAAGAGCTGTGTGACCTCCTGCTAGTATAGTGCCAGGCTGTGTGGGGATGGGAACACAGCTGTGCCCCATACTGGCATTCCTACTGTGATAAGGGGTTGTCTCTAGCTTTCCCCATTATCTCACCTCACTTATCTGGTGCATTCCAGATAGGTTACCCATTACTCTGACATTACCACGCTGTAGCCTGCTTGAAGGGAAAGTGAGGCAGGGGAGAGCGGTGAGGAAGGAGTGTTTTTGGGTGGGTTAGGCAGCTCCTACTTGTGTCTCTCACATGGGACTGCAGGCTATTAGTGCTTGATTATCTGATGCCACTGATCTAATTAAGAAGCATCACGCCAGTTGCAGGGACTTGTAGGCAGGCCTGGAGTGTGCTGGGTCAGTCCTGTTCCCAATGTCCCTGGGGGGGGAGAATGAAATATGCAGAAAATGAGGAAGCAGAGAGATTGCAATGCTTCCAACAGCGCTGGGAGGAAGAGCAGGGGAGGGCTGAATGTGAGGACAAGCATCGCCTCCTTGCCCTCATTGGTCAACATGTGATGTTTATGTTGAATTGGAAGGGGCCTTAAAGATCATCCAGTTCCTCCCCACTGCCATGGGCAGGGCTGCCACCTACCACCAGCTCAGGCTGCCTAAGGATCCAACCTGGCCTCAAACCTTCAGGGATGGGGCACCCACAACTTCTCTGAGCATTCTGTGTCAGCAGCTCACCACTCTCTGAGTAATGAATTTTCCTCCTATCATCTAATCTAAATCTTCCCTATTTTAGTTCAATAGCATTCACCCTTGTCTTATCACTATCACACTGCGTACAAAGCCAGTCCTCCTCCTGCTTATAAGCTCCCTTCAATTACTGGAAGGCTACAGTGAGGTTTCCCTGCAGCCTTCTCTTCTCCAGGCTGAACAAGCCCAACTTATAGGAGAGGTGCTGGGAAATCCCACAGGGATCAGAGTGGCTCGACCAAAGTGGTTGAGGGAAGATGATAAGGTTGCTGCAACTGAGGGAGGGATGCACCAAAGAAGTTAGTATCAAAACTGCTTTAATAAGGACAGTAAGTGCACGGGGTACAGAGTGGGGGCAGAAAGGCTGTTTCACAGACGTAGGTCTTTGGTCTGGAGCTTGTGCCACAGTCCAAGAAGCAGAGAACAGGGGGAGCTCATCCTGAGAGCCATCTCCCTGGCACGGGCTGGATGCTGACCCTGCATGGCCCTGCTGAGTGCTGATGGTTGGAGCTGGGAACGTGTTGGCACTGCTCTGGGGGGGGCTGAGGGAGGAGGGCTTGCCCTTAACCTGCCTGCAATGACTGCCTGGCTCCCACGTATAGCACGCGCACGCTGGAGCCTCTTTATTCTGCAAAAGGACTAGGCGGCGGGTGAGCCACGTAGGAGCGCAGCCCAATGGCATCTCCCCCCACTGTACACCCCCGTCTGTCCCGGAGAACAAGGAGGGTGCTGTGAGGGTCCTTCTGGTGACCTCAGCCCCCGAACATCTTGGCTCCACACCACGGCACAAAGGCGCTTCTGTGCTAGGCATCGTGGAGACCGCTTGTCCCAGGGTGGCTGCATCACCCGGGGATGCTCAGAGAGGGGCACTCAGCATCCTCCGTGTGTGTCCTTGGGACAAGGCACTCTGCAAAGAGGGGTGTTTGGGGGGGAATGGGTAGAGGGACAAGGGTGGGGAATAATGGCTGCAGAGAGGGAGTCTCCTTGTTGTGAGGTGGGTTGAAGGGGAAGGGAGTTCTTAAGGCAGTATTTGGTGCCCAGACAGTCTCACCTCTGGCAAACCACAAAGTTTCTCCCCCTCCCTGCTGCAAGGGGACTCCCTGCAAGGACAAAGAGACTTCCTCAGTGATGTTCAGCAGCAGGAGGCAAGGGGAAGGTACCGCAAGAGGAATGCTGGCTGGGTGCCTGGTGCAGCCACTGCCACCTCCATGGCTGCCACTGCCACCTCCATGGTCACCCCTACCTTCTCAGGGCAGGGTTTTGCACCAAGGGATCGAGCTCAGTGTCTGTGGGCTCTCTCTGATCCCTGCTTATCACTACTTCTTCCTTTCCTGAGCAAATCGTTTGCTTGTGGGGGGATGTGGGCTGGGGTGGGAAGGGGCTCGAGGGTTTCTTTGGCACATGGGAATGTTTGTTTGGCATCTAATAGGGAAAGAGAAGGGCTGTAGCTTGGCACAGTGCAGTGCACAGCCCTCACCCCTCCTTGCAGCACCCTGCCAGACCTGGGGGCCCTGTGGGAAATGGGGCCCCCTCCTGCCCGCCTTGCACTCTGCTGCCCTAAGGTGAAGGCCAGGAAGTTGCCTGCTGGGTCTGCCACCAGAGGTGGGGGATAAGAAGGAAGGTGATGACCACCGCACTGATGTCTTTGGAAGTGGGGCTGTGATGATGGGATGGCCATTCACACCTTGACTTCATCGTCCTCCTCCTCGTCGGCATACTCGAAAGAATTGCTGCGGCCCCCCCGGGTGCCAACGTACCCCTCTTGCAGGCTGGGGAGCTCGTCTTCCTCGTCCTCCTCCTCTCCTTGGTCCCAGGTGTCCTCCGGGGACGGTCTGGCTGCTGTTACTTGTGGCTGCCACGATTTGCTGCTGGGGCTCTCCCAGGCAGCCCGTGTCCAGACTTGCCGGGCACCCTCACCCTTCTCTGAGCTGCGTGGGGTGCTTGTCCCCCCATAATGGCGAGCCAGGACCTGGGCTGCCCGCTCGAACTCTCCTGCCTCAATGGAGCAGTCATTCCAGTGCCCCTGCCATAGGGTCCCTCCGGGCACTGCCCCTGGTGCCGAGGCCTGTGCTGGATCCTCTCTGGGCTGCTCAATGCCATGTGCCTGTCCATTGGCACGGATGGACAGTCCCAGAAGTGAGCCGGCCTGCCCGGAGTGGTCCCAGAAGCTGGGTTTTGCCTTCAGCTCTCCATGGGATGTGTCTGGTCCTGGAGGGTCTCCGTCCTTGGTTCCCTCACTATGTGGGAGCACACAGCTGCCAGGTGGGTCTTGGCCATCCTCTGCTACCTGATTCCCATTGGTTTCAGAGAAGCTCATTGCCTGGAGGAGCTCGCTCATGAGAGAGGGCCCCAGGTCCAGGCGGAAAGAGAGCAGGGAGTCTGAGCGATCCAGCTCTTCTTCCCCAGGGAAGGTGCTCTCCTGAGCCTTTTCCAGGCGAGGGACACGAGGGATGGTGCAAAACCCAGACTCTAGCCCTGCAAAGTAGAAGTGATGGTTGGTGAGTACAGCCAGGGTGCCACGGTGGGACAAAGCCTACGTGGCCATGGGACAAGGGATGCCGATGCCAGTAGAGGTTGGTGGCACTGGCCAGATTACCTCCCTTATAGGGCCCAGTGGCATCACACTACTGTAGCCCAGGGGTGCTATCTCCAAAGCCCAGGGCTGTGGTCTCCTGGTGGGCAGCAAGCATGGTAAAAGGCCGGTGGGAATGCAGCAGGGTGGGTGGGACCAGGAGATGGCAGCATTGCCTCAGCTTGCCTTTCCCTCTGAGCCCAACCATGTCCCTTGGTTGCCACAGGCACCCAGACCCTCCTGAAATCTTTGGCCTCAGCCTCTGGAAAAAAGCTGAGTCACAGCCCAGTGCTATGAGGCTAGAGAAGATCCCCTCAGCTGTCCCATCCACCCATCCCACATCCCTTCCAAATGGGGCCTTCCTGAATGCTGGCCAGCGGGATGGGATGAAGGAACAGCAGGAAAGGGAGGGATAAAGACCCTTGAGGGACGCATGGAGATGAAGGGATTGGGATACCTGGGGGCTGCTGGGGGCTTCAGTACGGAGGTGGAGATGGCTGTGCTGTGGCATGGGCATTGCCACAGTGGGACATAAGGGTGTCTGGGCATCAGCTACCACCCCCATCCTTGCACTCACCGTAGGTCTGGTGTGCTTTGGAGAGTCTGTTTGAGGCATTCTTGAAGGAGTACTTGCTGGTCAAACCGCCATCGCTGTCATATGCTGTCTCATTGAGCTGTGGCAGCGACACAGCATTCTTGATGATGGGCGAGATGGCCGGGGGTTCGGGTGATGCTCCTGCCTGGCTCCCGCTGCCCCGTCTCCTCTGTGGTGTCCGTCGGACATGACGCAGTGTGCGGGCAAAAAAGTTGTTGGCCTTGGCTGGCTCAGCCCCGCCATGGTTGCTGAGGAAGGAGGTGTCCCCAAAGACATCCCCGCCACGTCCCACATGCATGGTGTGCCGAAAGTCTCCCAGCGGTGGGCTGATCATGTCTGGTGTCAGCTCCGACTTCAGCCGCCGCTTGCCATGGGAGCCCGACACCCAGCTGAGCACTGGCAGCTTCCCCAGGCTCATCTTGATCCTCCTTGTTCCACACCTTCCAAAGAACCCAAAACCAGTTTCCAGCAACGGGATGGCGTGTCACATCCCCATCACCAGGAGGTGCGAATCGCCTTGCCTTGGTTTTGATCTGGTGGCAATGCTGCCTGCCCCTGCGTCCCTGCTCTACGTTACGTTCATGAAGTCACCCAGCGTGGGGATGTCCCAGCAGTTGGTGGCCTTGGCAGAAGTGAGTTCTTCAGGAAACTTTCTCACCCGGTGATGACGATGGTCATGGCAAGTAGGTGTCCCCAGGAGGGTCTGTGGCCATCCCAGATGCTGCTGGAAGCTGATCTGATGTTGGGAACTGCTGCACAGGTGGGTGCCAGGAGCTGCAGGGTGGCTGGGAGAGCTTCTTGATTTCCTAAAGAAAACGAAGAAAGGTGAAGTCCTTGGAGAGAATTTTCCCAGTCTCACTGGCTTTCCCCTGGGAGCAATGGGGCTGACTGGCCTTGGGGAAGTGTCCCCAAGAATGTGCCCTTCCCTCTGCCCATTGCAATCCTGGCTGAGGATTTCTTCCCCATGCCCTGCCCCATGGGGTGAGAAACCTCTCCCTGCTTCTCACTACTCAGACAAACCCTTCAGGAGAGGGTGAGGCCTGAGGTATGGCACAGTTCTCAGGGAGGAGGAGGAGCAGAGAGGGAAAAATGCAATATTTGTGTATTGGTTTGTTTGTCCTTCCCTGGCTGGATCCCAAGGTGCTTTGCTGGGGCGTGAATGCAGAATGCAGCAGCTGAGCATGGGGGGAGGCAGGCGGTGCTGGAGCCTGCAGTGCTGGGGCAATGACCGTGGGGCTGCATGGCCTCTGGGGGAACAGGATGTCAAGGAGGATGCTGGGATCTGTGTGGCCCCAGCAGTGTGTGGTGGTCAGGATGCCAAAGGCAGATGCACAAACCCTACACAACTCAGCCCCTGCTTGCGAAGACCCCATTGTTGTATCTCCATCAATCTCCCCCTGCAATGCCCTCTGCCTGCTAGCTGCGTCCCCATGTCACCTTTGAGCAAGTGCCAGAGAGCCCTGGGCACTGGGCTGCTCTCCTGTCAGAACATGTGTTTTCGCCTTGCCTTGGCCTTGTTTGCTCACCCGGGGCCCCTCTTATCTGCCAGGGGTTAATGCCTGGGAAGGGAAAACACACCTCCCCCCGGGGAGGCTGCCACCATTGGCTGCCTCCCTTGGTGGCACTGGTGAGGACACTAGGACAGTGGCAGCATTGCTTCCTGCCTATCCTCAGTCCCATGGCTCTTGTGGCTGTGCAAAGCCTCAAGAGTGGGGGACACAAGGAAGGTTTGGAATGGGAGGATGGTGGCGGGACGTGTTCCTCTGGCACAAGGCACAGGAGCTGGGAGGAGGGGAAGAACACCTCTCCCAGGTCTGTGGACCCTCAATGGGGATCCTTGGCTCTCTGTTACGTCTCTGCCCTCCCTCCACCCAAGTGTTGCAGGAACTCATGATTCCCAGGGCAAAGGCTGACCCGTGCTCTCCTTTCCTCCACTGGGCAATGGGAGCCCTGTCCAGCTAACTGGCCTGTCCACCTCCCCCTCCCCAGCTCCCTGCTGCGGGAAGCCCCCTCACTTCGATGGCCGGGAGCTTCCTCCTCCTCCTCCTCCCGCCCTGTGTCCCCTCTGAGCTCGGCTGGTTTCCACTGGTTTTCCACCCGCCAGGAATGGCCGGAGCTGCTCCGCTCGCTGGGAAGAGCGGAAACCAGCAAGGGGGGGAAAATAATCCAGATGTCTTGTTGGCTAGAGCTGCTGAAAACAGCCCTCTTTCCCCTTTCCTCCCCCCTCCTCCTCTCTTAGCATACACCCCAAGGGGACAAGCTCCAGAGAGGGAGAGGAGAAGTCTGGGGTGGTCTCAACAAGGGGGATGAGGTTGGAAATGGCTGTGGGCGGCCGGGAAGCCTTTCCCAGCCTTCCCAAGCGCCGAAAACTCCCTCTTCCCAAAGGAGGAGGAGAAGGAGAGGCAGAGTCTCCTCCAGCTGCTCACTTTGTTCTGGGACAGGGAAAACTGGAAGAAACGGGGTTTTGGGATCCATGCAGGCAGGAAGGGGGCAATGGGCTGGGGCTCTCCCACAGTCCTGGAGCAGCGCCTAGCAGTGGATGAACGATCCCAAGTCCAGCTTCTGTGCTGCCTGCTGTTATGTATATATTTATATCTCTGCCTATAACAAGGGTGTTTTTCCAAGCAGGCGCTCTGGGACGTTTCCAGCCATCCCCTCCCTACTCCCTCTTGCGCTCTCGAACTTCCAAATTAAAGCTTCCTGGGGTGAGAGTGGTAGCAATGGGGTAGCAATGAGGAGGGGGCTCTGCTGCTCTCCCCCATCCCTGGGTCCCCTTCATTTCCCTGCTTCCCTTTCTTTGCTCCCGCTTTCCCTTCCTTCCTCTCCTCCCCGTTTCCAGTCGCATTCCTGCCATCTCCCTTTCTTTTTCCACATCCTCCCCTTCCCCATCGTCCCCATCGCTTTGCCACCCCTCCCGCTTTTCCCACCTCCTCACTCCCCTTCTTACAACCCCCTCCCCTTCTCCTCCGATACAACCCCCCATCTCTCCGCACATCCATACCAAAATTAGTATACTAATACCTCTTTTTTTGGCCACTCTTTTTTTTTTTTTGTCTCTTCCTCCGGCCGAAAAGTTGGGAGACGCTCTCCGTGCGTCCCTCCAAGTTGGCTGTGAGGACAACCGGCGCTGCGTCCCAGCGGGGAAGGGGAGGTGCGCCCCCCTTTTCCCACGCCCGTCCCCCCAAGCTTGGCTCCCCAGGCTGCTCTTTGGGTGCCTGACGCCCCGGTGCCACGGGAGCGAGGGAGCGAAGCTGGCGGGGAGGGGACGCGGGAAGGAGGGGGCGGGCTGCGGCACTACCGAGCCAATCCTCGTCCCGGCACGGAGACCGGAGAAAATGAGATTTATTCCAACTATCCAGGACAGAAAACTTCAGGAACTTCTCTGCCTTCCCCCCCGCTCCCCCCCTCCTCCTTCCCCCGCCGCCCTGCTTCCCCAGTGCCATTTCCTTTCCTTCAGCATTGGCTGCCTCCTGCTTCCCCGGGTGAATTTGGGGGAAGGGGAAAGCCCAGGCCTCTGCTAAACTGCTTGGAGAAGGCTGGCAAAGGAAAGGAGTTTGCTTGAGGTGTGTGAAAACCTCTGTGATAACATGGGGTCGTTCCAGACCATGTTGGATGGGAAGTCCCCAGTACCCACGATACAGAGCTGCCAAATCAAATGGGGAGAGAGACCCCAAGTCTGCAATGTGTGGTCATACCGGGACCTCCAGGCAATATTGGGGTGAGCACTGGCAGATTAAGAGCCTCCCTGCAGGCTGACCCTGGGGGGTCATATAGGCATCACGGTCTCAGGACAAGCATTAAGAGGTCAGGACGAGTATTATGGGGTCAGGACAAGCGTTATGGGATTGGGACAAGCGTTATGGGATTGGGACAAGCATTATATTGGTGCCACCACGTGGAAGTGGCACTAGGTGTACTTGAGGAGGTGGCATGAGTTTCTGCCCACCTATGGGACACTGCGTCCCTCCATGATTCATTGCTTTGTCCCTTGATGGTCACAGGACAGAAGACCCTACCAGTGCCACCAAGGAGTTCAACACTGGTGGACACAGCTTTGCTTGTGTCCTTGGTGACCCCATGGCCTAGCGATGAGGCTCAGTGGCTCTCCTGGAGTGTGTGACCAGACACCAGCACTGCACCCAACCCATGGAGGAGAAGGGAGGTGGCTCTGCTGGTGAAGGCAAGATGGGACTTGTTGGGGTGAAGCTTGAAGAACGACAAAAAGTCTGCAGAGATGTTGAAATGGAGCCTGGCCTCTCACTTGGCTCAAGTGGCCTTGGGCAGGATGGGCAACATGTTGTTGGCCATACAGCTCTGCTTCTGGAGGAAGGAGACCATGGCCTCTCACCTAGGACTACCACTACTTGTGGCTTCTCTGGCTCGAACCTTTTCTGACTTTTGCTTCTCGAGGATTATCCTTCCCAGTGAATAATCCAATGTTTATCTGTAGCGTGTGCTGCTTGTGATAATGAGAGGAAGCTCTTTGCTGGAGATAGGCTTCATGCCACTTCCCAGAGGCTGCGAGCAGAGCAGCTCGCTGCCTCGCTCATTGCTTAGAGGCAGCTGTAGGGTTTTGGCACAGCATCAGCCTCTCAGCCTCAGGCTTCTGCCCTGTGAAATGGAATGGTTGCAATTTCTGCCTTCCATGAAGGCCAGATGTGATGTTGGTTATGAGTACAGGACTTGAAATACCCCTAAAATACCAATTTTTGGGGTATATCTAGAGGGCCTGTAGCTTGGAGGGTGATGGGAGCTCAGGTGTGACAGGGGCTGAGCTATGCCAACAGTGGGGAAAGGAGAAGAACTCATGATACTTCACCCCTACTTGCCAGAGCTGTAGTGGGCACCTTCCACCCAGAGGGAGTCAAACAGGTGATGGAAAAGGCAGGGGAAGGTGCTTTCTTCAGCTCTTCTCCCTCTGCAATCTCCCAGGGCATCTCTGCCCCCAGTCCCATCCCAGTGCCCTGCAGCAGGGGCTGTAGAGGGGAGTGGTAGCTGACTCCGCTGGGGAATGCAGAACAAATCTCTTCCAGATGGGGCAGGGGCCATGCTCAGCTCTTTGTAGCTCGCCCCCTCCTCCTCTTTCTTCTCCTTCTCTTCCTCGCCGGTACTCAGAGCATCTCTGTGCACTGGGCTGTGCTCTGTTTCCAGGAAAGCAGCTGGAACCCCCCCTCTCCTGCTCTACGAACCTTGTGGTTTTGTGTCTGTGCCAGCCAAGCTGTCCCTTTGGGGATGACATTGAAGCATGATGGAGACCTGTAGGATATGTGCTGACTCCAGGACTCAGCCCTCATCCCAACCCTTGGGCACAAAGTGATGTGAATAGCCCCACTATACCCTGGCTTGGGCTGTTTCCTCCTTAATCCCCCTCCTTTTCTATTCAGCTGCCTGGAAAGTGTATCTGTATAAACCTGCTTCCCAGCCTCCCCTTCTGCTGTAAATCTGCCCCTGTTTGTTCTTGCAAGAGATGTGGTGGGTCTGGATGGTCTTGCAGAGCCACTGCAAAACCCATGGGTGCCCATGGCGATAGCTAATGGCTGGACCCCTCCCAGCCCCATTGCCCCAGACACCCAGCTGCCTCATTTACCCTGAGTCACCTCTGCCTTTCATCCCTCTGCAACACCCCAGGCAGTGCTACCAGTCTAGCCATGATGGAGAGAGACTGGCTATCCAGCTTATCATTTGAGCAGATGAGTGGCCCTGCAGCTTCCCGGGGTGCTGGTGATGTTTGCTTTGATTCCTGCAACATCAAAGTTGGGGCTGTGCAAATTGACCCCTCTCCTCCTGATGCTCTCCCCCTGGGGCAGAGCACTGCAGGGCTGAAGTGTTGCTGGTGTGACAGGAAGGGAGTGAGGGATTGGGGGGGACATGGGGTGTCCTGGTGTGGTGGAGAAGGCAGCAAAGGACCTTTCTCAGGACATGAAGATTCTTCTTCCATTTTGCTTTGGGAGAACTTAGTGAGAACACCCCAACCTGGGGATGGGGCATCCAGCCCTGGTTACCTATACCTCTTCCTGAGCCCCATCCCTGGAAATTTCTTGGGGAAGGATTGTGAAGGGGAGGGCAGGCGAGAAGGGGCTCCCGCTCCACACACCAGCAGCCCATATCCTGTTGCTGCCCAGGCTCCCCGGCTCATATTTCCTCATTAACTGGGAGTGCTGCTCGTTTGTGGGCGACTTCCAGATGTTTCCATTCTTCTCACGGCAATCATGAGGATGCATACTGCATGGTCTGAAAGGTGCTGCTGGCAGCCCCTGCTGCAATGGGGGGCCAGGAGGATATGCATCCCACTGTGGGTCCAGGTTCATTCACCGTGATGTTGCGATGAGCAGGCTGGGATGGTAGCACATCCCAAGATGGGTGATGGATGAATTCAGTGAGGTACCCTTTTGCTTGCCCTGCTCTGTGGACACCGCATTGCTATCACCCCATGGTTTCTCCATTGGGATGGCGGTCCCTCAGCCTGGTGATGGTGCTTGGGAGAAGGATCCTTGTGCTGCACCATGGATGGAAAGCAGACAGCAGAATGGCGCTCACAGGAGAAAGGCTGATTTTGACACTGTAAGAGTCCATTTATGCTCTGGGACAGGGGAAACCAAGAGAATAGGATCAACCACATCCTGCTCTTGGGTTTGCAAAGGGACGGGTGCTTCTTCCTGGGGAGCTGGGACAGGAATATTAAGCCTTGGGGATTACCAAAGCCCAGGAGGAGGTAGGGACAAGTTCTCAGGCTTCTGCTTCCCTGCCCTCTGCCTATCTCCTCCTATCCCAAATGTTTTCATCCTCTTCCTCCTTTTGCCCATGGCCTTCTCCTCATGCTTGTGGACTTGGGGGTTTTGTGGATTGAAGATGGAGATGCAAACTCTGGCACAGAAGGGAAGGAAGGGGTGCTTTGCGACACAGCAGGGAGAGGGATGGGGGTTGTTGCATAAAGCAGAAGCAATCCTAGAACAGCTGCCTGTAGCCTGGAAACACCTCTGTGATTCCGTGCACTGGGAAAGGCAATGCAAATATCTGTTTAAATATGGATATTACATCTCCCACCACCTGATTCTCCAGTTCCTTTTCACAAAACCTAAGGAGGTGTAGGAGGGACTTGGGGGTGGGCTCAGCTTTCCTCTCTGCAGTAAGAAGCAGATCTCCGCATAGAGGGGCTTCTGTGGGTCTGTGTGCCCTTTGCTGGCATGGGCCCTTTGCTGGATGAGGAGGGGAGCATTCTGTGGGATTTCAAAGGAATGAAGGAAAAGAGGAGCTGACAGTCCCAAGAGAAGGGAACAGGTCCCCAGGGGTGGCATGTCCATGGAAATGATTGGGAGCAAGGCTTGGGGATGAGGAACGGCATGATGTGTGGAAAGAAGGCAGCACTGTGGGGATATAGGGAAAGAAGAATGGGGATGGAGAGAGAAGTCATCCGTGGATTGAGAGGATTACCATACAAGAGGAACCTGCCTTGCTCCAAGGGAAGATAGGGGAGTGGGTGGAAATGGGGCCTGGACAGCTCTTTAATCCTAATGGTTTTGCCTGTCCATCGAGCTTGCATATTTTTGTCCACGGAAGGAAGGGGGTGGGGTGCAGAGGCAGCTAAAAATAGGGGTGTCCCTGCCCATTCCCCCAAGGCGGGCATCCGTCTGTCTGTCTGCTGCCTGTGGGGCTGCTGCGGGATCTGGAGGAGGGGAGCAGGCCTGTCCTCCTCCCCAAAGAGTCTGGCTCCGCTTTTGTTTGTCTCTGGGCCCTACGGGGACAGGAAGAGGCTGCGAGGCTGGGAAACAATGGCTCATTCTCTTGGCGTCAGCGCCTGGCCAGCAGTGATAGGGGACACGGGCTCCCGGCCAGGAGGAGGCATGGCCTCGTCCGCCCCAAGGAGACAGTTGGGGACAACGCCAGGAGAGCTGGCTGGATGCAGGCTGACTTTCCCAGCATGTCCCTCTGCCCTGCTGCACCCTATGCCTGATATCAGGAGTGGTCTCATGTAAGCACACCCTATGGAGGAGGTGATAAAGGGAGAGGTAGGAGGTGGCAATGGGGCAACACTTCCCTTGTCCTTGGCCCTATGAAACCTGCAGGAATGATACGGGACAAATTTGGCATCCCAGCATGTTGGTGACCAAGGGACACGGATGAGTGTGTGTTGCAGGTTGGAAAACCAACCCTTCCATACCAGACCGTTCTTGTCCTCCTTGTCAGTGTTCGATCCGCCTTGTGCTGGAGCTGCCTCTCCCTGGCCATTGCTTTTCCACATGTGGGGTAAGAGGAAGCGAGGCGAGAACCTGAGGTTCTCTGGGTACTGCAGAAGTTAGGAGATGTTCTATA